TATCCGGCGGCCCGGCGACTCGGCAACCCGGCAGCTGAGCCGATTGTCCGCCGGGTGCCGCAGCCACGGGCGCTTTGACAATGGCCTGGCGGACAATCGGCTCGGCTGCCGGGTTGCCGAGTCGCCGGGCCGCCGGATACCGGGAGGAAAAATATGGCATTTTCTTACTTATTTTTTCAGGCTGTTTTCGCATATTTTTTGTAACAAAAAAGTTCCAAATTTCTCTCGTGTTGTAGTCTCGCAAGCCAGCCGTTCCCATCAGCGCTCGGGACCAGAATCCGCACTTCGCTTTTTCGAAGTCCGATGCAGATTCGTACATCGCTTTTGAGTCCCAGAGTTCGCCATATTTTCTTGCAATCGACGACCAGCACTGAGCTACCACAAAGATGTCTATGCTTTTGCAAGCGGCACTCCGAAGATATTGATATTGTTCTACATTTTGTTTTTAGCCAAACCGTCGCCGCCACCCTACTTGACGCCGTACGCTGAAAGCATCTCAACTTGCGGGATTTGGGGTGCTGTTATTCGTATAATACGCCCCAAATATTCCACTTAGCAAGCACATCGTATCCGAATGATCTTACGGTTGCTGGTGAGTCAAATTTCTTACGATATGCATTGTCTCAGCTGCAGGCCTTTTCAAAGTTTAGGCATCCAGTCAGACCAGTCTTCTTCGTGCGACACCATCAGACCGATGGCGCTGGAACTGTGCTCGCCATCTCCCAGGGTGTCTCTGGCTCGGTCTGCGCAGTCGTCCTTGGGCTTGCTTCTTCAACTTGCGCTAAACCTCCCTTTTGGTCGCCATGTTTTTCAGCCAGCGTCTGCCATCCGCTCCGGACGAGATCTATTCATCCAGTCTCGACACACTTCATCTGGGCCACGCGCTCTGGTACCCGGAACCGCATGTGACGGGGGAGCCGCATATTGGCGACGTGGGCTTCATGCGAGAGGGTGCCTTTGTCAGGCTATTTAACCTGGACACGTCCGCACCCGAGAAGGAGGTCAAGTTCTGGCCGAAGCGTTTCGAGAATATCGAGTCCTTGCCTCCGGATGTGCTGCAAATCGACTCCAGAAGCTGCCCGCTCGTTCCGGATCATTATTGCAGCGATGGAGTTGAGAGGAAGGAGATGCATGCGTCTGTGGATGTGTGAGCGTTATTCTGCATAGCCGTGAAATGCTTTTCCGCCGCTGACGGTCTGCAGGGCGACTAGCGTAGGCGCTTCCGCGACTCTCAGTGCTAATTACACGTGCAAGGCAGCACAAGGGGCAGTTCTCGTACTCCAGAGCGAGGCGCATACCGAGTCGCTCTTCGAGAACCATCTCCTTCACACGTACATTGCCCGGAACTACGACAAATGGTACGCGTATGCCAAGGACGATCTAGGCCAGGCTATTCAGCAAGAGAGTATCATCGTGATCAGAGGATGGGTGAAGACTACGTCGGACTGGGCAGCCGTTGCCTTCCGCAACACGACCACAACGACTAAGTTCTCACTTAAAGGTCGTGTTGGTAACGCTGTGGGGGCCGAGATGGGCGGCTCGCGTACGAGCTCTGTGAGGGGTCCACGCATGCAGCGTCAAGGTAAGAATTACTCCGCGAAGGCGTCCGGTCTCCCTGTCCCAGAGGCCAAGAGGAACCAGTGCCCCTTCTTGAAGCGCTACAAACTACGTAGGCGGCCGGGATTTCCGTGGAAAGTGATTGCGAGTGCGGGCTATCACGTGCTTCCGGATTCAGGAGACGCAAGGGGTACTTCGGGGATGGAAGGTGTTGTGGCGTGGGACCAGGATCTAGACGAGGTGAGCATGCTGGAGCTCGAAAGCGAGGTATGTACTTCTTCAGGATGTGTTGCAATGCACACAAGCTGATACGAGAGCAGGGTGAGGTTCTCGATCCACTGGACATCCTTCTAGACTACATATTGGAGGTAAGTCTAAGTCTAGTCAACAGTTTGATTCATCGTGTTTACCTGAAACCGCAGACCACCGACGTCGAGATTGCCATCGCAAGCGACAACCAGATCGAGAGCATTGTCGTATGTATTCCACGTATCATCAGAAGGCTCGAAGGTTAACACTTTCACCTTCCTCTAGAATGGCTATCGGGTAGTCGATTTTGCAAGCTATCTTCGCCAATTGCAGCCTCCGGTGAGGGTTGATGACACACGTAAGTCTCTCGTCTCCTTGTGGTGTTGCAATATCTAAGGACGACGACTTCTGGTGCAGTTGGATCGCTGTGCATGGAAGATGTGGTCACCCATGAGCGAGCTCGTGCGTTTGCGCATCGCAGAATCACGCGTACCGACTTGAAGAAATGGTCGGGCATCACCGTTGATGGTGCTGGCCTTCTGGAAGACTGGCAGGTCTTCATTGGCCCCGCCGAAACCTCCGCCCAACCCCTGAAGTCGAAGCGAATCATCTTCATGGATACTCAAGATTCGCACAGTTTCCGTAACTGCGCATCCGCCACCCTGTCAAGTGATGGCACGCTTCTCGCGGCGTCGTTTGAGGACGGCGATATCCTCATATGGCGACTCTCCGATAGCTTGCTGGTTCAACATCTACACCACAGGGACCTTTCAAGCTCAACTCCTGCCGAGGCAGCCAAATTTCTGGTATTTTGCTCCCGGGATAAAACCCTTGTTTCGTGTTCGGCAGGCTGCGAAACCTTTTGGGATATTCAGAGCGGTCATAGACTTGAGAGTCCATGGCGGAACTCGTTCTGTAGGCCAATTCTCAGCGTCGTATATGCACCGAACGGCGTACTCAGCGCTGTCAGCCATTGGAAAGGCACAAACGTGACCCTCAAGGACGGCCGGAAAATGAGTAGCATCTTGGTTCATGGATATATACGCAAGCTCTCCTTCTCCCCGGATAGCTTACGCCTCTACATCGAGTTGAAGGACTCCTGCATCATATTTGACACCAACACCCATAAACGCATCGCCATAATACAGCGGGAGTCAACGAGACCGCTCTACTGCTCGATGTCCTACCAAGGCGATCGCATAGTCACTGCGTCGGACGACGGCAAAATGAAGATTTGGAGCGCGGTAACCGGCAGGAACCTTCTCACGATCAAGTTCCCGAAGATTCTCTCGACCTCCGTAACGTTCTCCCCAGATGGCGCCGAGGTGATGGCGGCCTGTCGGGCGGACAACACAGCTATCGCCTACGATTCGTGGACAGGCGGGCTACGCCGTGTTTTCCAATTTTCAGCCAGAGCGCAACATCTCCTATACTCTCCAAATGGTGCGTTCGTTGCCGTAGGCACAGTAAACGGAGATCTCCAGGTATTCAACGCGAGGTCCGGGACATTCGTCGCCAAATTCGAGGGTGCCGGAGAAGGCTGGGATTTCAAAGCGATTCAATTTTTGCCTGACAGTCGGACGCTTCTGGCACAGCTCTCGCATGGACCTCTGATTCTGTACAACATCCAGGATGCATTACGAGTGCGATAGCGTAGTAGCGACGTTTTCCCCGTCCAATGCATCGTATTAGTAAAAACACGTAGGTTAAACGTAGCAAAATACGCGGATTGTCTGGTATTGCTATGCGGCACGAGCGCGGTATGCGATGAGCGGGAGGTGTCTCTGTGTATGGAGAGTATTGAAGCATGAACAAGACAGAAGGTCCGCAAAAGGCAGACGCTTGAGCGGCAGAAGTGACGGCGAGATGCCTAGTGTCCGCCTGACGTAGGGACCGCAGAGTTAGGCTTCATAGACCTTGCGCAGCAACGCGTCTTATATAACAGTGCCGGCTGGGCATTCTGCGCAGGCCGTGGGCAGTGACTTGTCACAGCACAAGCGCGAGACCCGCAGACAATATTCCATCTCGCGCAGATGATCGAAGATACCTTGTGTCGAAGATAGAGTACAAGACGACGTATTTAGCGAAGTTGAGGTTAATCGCCACGACGAGCTGTAGTCGATGAGCACGATGCCATTATGCGGGAGACGGGAGATGACATATCACCTGCTTGGTTCCGTCAGTCAGACCGTGTATCCACCTGAATTCTCCCTGTCCAGGTCAGTTATCTCGACACCGACCTGAATTGGTATGGTCAGTGCGCTCAGATTGGATGGCGCTCGCAATGCAACACACCCAGAGAACATGCCACTCCTATGGAACCACAGGTTTAATCGAGCTAGAGCACGACGGACAGGCGAGGAAGGAGTCAAGATGTGCGACGGCCACTGGAGTACTCGTAGACGCTTGATCGCCACCTGGTCTTGTACACTGCTAACGCTCGATGATTCGAGGAGAGGCAGGAGCCTCAAGAAATCCCGTTCGTCGCCAGATGTACTGGGTGCTGAGTTCGAAGAGAAGATGCGTGCAACTCCAAGCGTGACGATTGATGGAAGCAGAGGAAGAGTTTGAGATGAATGATGTTAGCATCAGCACATCCGTACTCCTCGACTCAGGTCGTAAGCAACAAGACTTTGCCCTTGCAACCAGAAGGATTTACATCTGCGACCCCGGAGTGGACTAGGGTAGATTGTCAAGGGATGTCAGCAAGTCTTCCCTGCTGTTTCAGCATAGGAGATAGACCAATGCCAAGCCAACTGGGAACATACTACATATCCGGACGTGTATACCATTGCCTCCAGCTGGTACGAAGTTGTCTGGCATAGCTATCGAATAGTTGGACCTTATTGCAAACGCCAGCAAGATCGTTGTGTCGTAGCCCTCCGTGAGCACGGGTTGGTTAAAAGGCCTCGAGACGATCGGCCAGCACAACATTAATGCATGACCCAGCTCAACCCCCGCCTGACAAAAGCCATGAAGACGAATGTGTCATGCCGGCGAGTCGCACCCTTCTCGTTGTCACTCGGGACCCAGTGATCGCCCTGCCTTGGCCGTAGTCAGAGTCAGATCCATATGACCCTACCTTCGATTTGTCGCGGTGTTTCGCTTTCACCAGTGAAGTTAGAGCTGGCGTCGCGGCGTTCGCGTGCCTTCCTTCGGAAATGCTGGGAGCGGCCGTGAGACTACTGTCCTACGTGATGCGCGCAGCAATCCGCAGTACCTTCTTCAGGCATGTATCTCTCCTAGAGCTAACATTTCAGAGATTCGACGTTGTGTGCGCATCAAGGGCGAGCCTAACGAGGCGAGTGGCTCGGAGACCTGTCGCGCCTAGCGGAATAATGAATTGTCACGTGCGTCACGTTGTTGTCACATATCACGTGCGGATGTCATAGTCCTTTGTCACGGCCGCCGCCAGCTGCGCTAACTGCGGCCACTGCTCACCCGCCCACTCCATCGACGACATCATCTCTCTGGGCACCGTTCGGCGCTGTCTCGGCGATGTGTGTCACAGTAGCCTCGGTGTTTTCTCATCCTCTTGCTAAACGCACACCAGGCGTTTCACTGCTTATACAAGCAGCTTGCAGGAAGCCGTCACCGCATGATCGGCAGCTTATGCGTGCTATGTCACGGGCCCGAGTCCCACCTGCTGACACTTCGCAGTGGAAACATATAACGCCTCCGCCGTCGCTGGCCGTAAATCCACAATACTACTCTCTGTTTCAAAACTACTACCACCATCATGCTGCAGGGCTGGCACAGAGGCGAGCGTTCTATCCAACAGAAGCTGGGTTTTGCAGGCCCAATGTCCATGGCGTACACCTGGATTGATGGCGAGATGGACGAACAGCACCGTGAGTTCCATACTACACGGCTGCCCTTCATTCCTGTTACCACCCTCGACAACCAACACCGTCCCTGGACGTCTATTTTCGCCGGCAGCACGGGCGAGCCGGGCTTCGTCTCCAGTCCCTCATGGAATCGCCTCGACATGGAGATCAAAGTATGGGAGGGAGATCCCTTCTGGGAGAACCACGAACATTTTGACGGCGAGAAAATGCTCGCGGCAGGTATTGGTATCGAACTTTCCACTCGCCGAAGGAACAAGTTTGCTGGACACATCTTCGCAATGCGTCAGAAGAAGGATCAGTTCCGATTGAAGCTCATAGTCAACCAGGCCATAGGGTACGTCGTCCTCATCTTTTTCGAAGACTGTGCTAACATCCGTCTAGGAACTGCCCGAAATATATCAACCTTCGTCAACTTGAGCCCCACCGTAATACGTCACCTGTCGTTGTCCACAAGCGGCCCAACCTCGAAGATAATGAACGTTTACCGGACGAGCTTGTCGATTTCGTGCGCGAGGCGGACACCATCTTCATTGGCACCTCGTATCGTGCAAAGCCTGAGGAAGCAATTAGGTTCCCCTCACATGTCGGTCAGAATCAGCGGGGCGGAAAAAAGGGCTGGGTACGTGTGAGGTCAGATGGCAAGACGCTGGTGATTCCGGACTATTCAGGTACGTAGTTCGGTGTTCGCATTGCACTTAAATGCTTACGCCCATTTTCAGGGAATCGTTTAATGACTTCGCTGGGCAACATCGAGGCTACACCTGTGGCTGGCGTCACCATCGTGGACTTTGTCACAGGAGACGTCCTCTATCTCACTGGTGACGCGCGTACAGCTGTTGGGCACGAAGCGCAAGCCATTATGCCACGCCAACGGGTGGTAACCCTTCTCGAAGTGACCGGGTACTCGTTTGTTCGCGACGCCCTTCCCGTCCGTCAGCGACCTGGCACGTCAGCGACCCCCAGTCCGTACAGTCCACCGGTACGTTTGCTAGCGGAGGAAACTGCAGCCGGAACATCGAAGTATTTCGACGAAGAGACATCGGTCACCTTGGCTAGTGTGCGGCTCCTCAGTGAGGATCTTGCCACATTTACCTGGGAGTCGTCCAAACCTATCTCCATACAACCTGGCCAGACGGCGATCCTCGACTTCTCTGACATGGTCGGCACGGTCAAGTACCAGCACATGGCTCCTTGGAAACCCACCAGCGTCAACGACGACCGTATCCGAACCTGGACTGTTTCTAGCGCACATCTCGCAACAGAAGGCACGAAGAAGTTTGACCTTACCATGCGCGAGAAGGAGGGTGGCGCCGTCACGGGTGCCTTGTTCACCATTGCGCGCAAGCTCACCGAGCTGCGCCCTGAGTTGCTCGATGACACACGCCCCCTCGGACTGCAGGTCAAGCTGGTCGGCATCGCGGGCAGCTTCATGCTCTCCCTCCCTTCCTCGCCGTCCGCGTCACAGGAGCCGCCTGCGACGTCGATGCTCTGGCTCGCGGGCGGTATCGGACTCACGCCGTTCATGAGCATGCTCTCCGCCATCGCGAAAGCGCCTCCGTCCGACACGCGTTGGGACGTCGTCCTCGCACTCTCGACGCGTGAGCCCCAGGTGCTCGTCCCTCTCATTGCGCAGGCACTCGGCAAGGGCACGCCGAAGCTCCGTCTCGTCATCCACGTCTTCTCGCAGAGGCGTATCCCATCCTTCCCGCAGCTCCCGCCCACGGACGAGCTCGAGGTCACGTTCAAAGCGCACCGCGGCAGGATTGACGCGAGCCTGTTCGACGGCGTGCAGGATCTATCTTCCCGCAAGGCATATATGTGCGGCCCTGAAGAGTTCGAGAAATCGATGCTGAAGGAGTTGGGCGAGCGCGGCATGAAGAACGATGCAATTATCAGGGAATCTTTCGAGTATTAGGCGCTGTGCGTAATGCTTCGTATTGCTCATCTTTTGGGCCTGCATAGTCTTCGAAAATCTTGACACGAAGTTGAGAAGGACATTACATAGTTTACATGGACTTTGGATTGCCGGCAATGGATTCAGTATTTCATGGGATATAAAGCTTTAAATGGAGATACCCTACAACCGACAGTGTGGGTGAATGTACAGACGAGTGTCATTGTCCACCGTACGTGCTCGGTGACCATAACATCATGCGAATCCCCGTCCAGCGAAGATGGTACTAGGCGTGCTGCATCCTGGACGCGGCACTACACGGCTCAAACTTCTGCGCTCTCGCCAGTGAAGTTGCTGGGAGCATGCTCAAAGTCTTTCTGCTGACAGCCGGGGTCTGACTGTCTCGTGCATACCAAGGCCAGACTTGCTGCGAGACTGGTTATCCGGGACGGGAGTTGGCTATGTGGCTGTTCTATCATACTCCTTGCGCCATAATATATCGCCCGCCTAGCTCAATCGGATAGAGCGTCAGACTCTTAAGAGCGCGGGTGTAAAGCACGCGATCCGAGTGCGATCTGAAGGCTGCGAGTTCGACCCTCGCGGTGGGCTAGTTATTTTGCTCTTGTCTCTCTTTTTCACGCCCGTCATCATGTCTGACATGTCAGAAACCCACAAGTTTCTGGCATTACACCGTATGCACCATGTACTGTGCAGCAATCTAATTTTGACCGTTAGATTTCGGCGTTTTACAGATGGTGCCTTGTGTTAGGTCCCCGAGCTCGAGGCCCCTCGCGACACTATCCGACGCGTCATCCCGTCCGCGGAGACTATCGGCGGGGCATAAAGAATGATGAGCCCGCTTAGACGGTGGACAGGAACGAACTACAGACCGCTATTTTGGCTAACGCCAACACCATCAATAGGTCTAGAGTTATATTTATATTTGCCGCCAGGAACATGGTAGTGGCTGGACGAGTACTTCGCCGAGCAAGCGATGGATGGACTTTGCGGGGATCGGGCACAGAAGCCCCGAAGCCTGCATTGTATTGCAAAGTAGCCAGGTCCCGGGAACGGCGATGGCGATCAATGCGTCGCCAAAGTAGTTATCGGGAGCAAATGGACATCGGGGCGAGCGGCGGCGCATAAGCGGAAGTCCTACCATATAGCTGCGAGTCCACGGTAAGTGTAGTACCAGGAAAGCGATCACGCTCAGCAGCCAGAGCTGGGCTCGGATGCTGAGCCGCTGAGCCGCACATAGCTATTGTCGCGATGAGCGTGAAAGAGGACAAGGACTTGCCATGCTTGCCGGAGCATGCAGTGGCACTCAGCGGGAATAGCGCGCGAAATGCACCAGTAACATACGGCA